CAATCCACTCAGTCAAACACTTTCATAGCCTGAACAGATAACACTTGATATATAAATGCATTTTCGCATAGTGAATAGCTTCTCCTAAACCTTCACCGCTTTTTTTCTCAAAAACTCTTCCGTTTATTATTGGGATCACCGCCACAGAGTCCTACATGTGTGAAAAATGTGCCTGGCTGATACAGAAGAAAAAACAGCCATATGGCGCGAGATCATGCATGATCACGGGATAGTCATCCTCGTAGTTCATATTCGGATTCTATCCCGAACACTTCAAGACTTTTACGTGCTGAAGTTTTCAATTTCTGTGTGAAGATTATTACTTCTACTTCGAAATTCCCATTATGTCTGTGTGTCCCATGCGTGCTCACTGTTCTTTGATATGAGCACGCAGTAGTCTATTTCTACGTTTCACCAATGTATGCATTCCTGCATGCTCCACAAAAGCATACAAAACCATACCCGAACTCGTGCAATCCACTCAAGGGAATCATAGGGAAAATATTTTCTCTCCTCTTAGGGAAATTCTGCAATTCTGGGTTTCGCATAGACGGTCAAGCACGCGGTTATGAAGCAGCTGACATCTTAGAGTATTCGGTGATATTTCAATCACTGCTACCAAACTCCTCTGAGACGTGTCTTGTTAACACAAGTGGTCTTGCGCCAACTCAAATTAATTTTTTGATTTCAGCCACGCACATTTCTACCTATATAAGACTCTGAGTAGGTGATCTCCAATAATAACTGGAGGATTTACAAAAATCAAAAAGTGAGTGTTTAAGAGAAGCTGTTCATTATGCGAATAAACAATAATGTATCAAGTTCTATCTGGTGAAGTTGTTAACGCTTTTGACAGTAGATTGCGTGTAGAGGTCACGTAGTCGTGTGGGTGTTAACGAGAAGACCTCTTAAAAGTTAGTTACGATTGAATTCAATATAATGTGAAGGATGGTAGACGAGCAGGAATGGACAGTGGGAAAATCTGATCCACGACGACTTAATTGCAATGAAAAGCGGCTTTCATGTTAATTGTAGCGTTTACTACATGTAAATTTACCTGCCATTAAAAAGCGATTACGCCTCGGAACATTTTAATAAATCCAGTATAGAAAATATCTCATTGCTTAAAAGATCGAAAATAACAAGCAGAAAGGATTTTTTTTCTTGACACGCAGACATTCATTCGCTCTTTTTCAAAGAAAATAGCCCTTATAAAACTTCACTGGGACCACAACGAGTAACATGTATGGTATGTTAAACATTAAATATTCAATGCAACCAACTGGTTCCTGCTATTTTCAGAATTCACTTTCATTCCTTAGTGAAAACCAGACTGCTACTTGGGATTGGATTCTACGGAAAAAAAAATACCCAAGCTCGTTTCCGTAGAACGATATGAATTAGTTTTAATCGACGTAAGTAACGAAAAGCTTCGCATTTCCGTGATGAGAAAAAAAGCCACGATTTATTTACAGTGTGATTCTTATTCGCAAATAATAAACAATATAACAATAAATATCCTAATAACAACATAAATTATCATTTTTTAAGAACAAAACTCAACTGGTTCTGCTCTTTTAGCCCTTAGTCCCCGACATTTCAGAGTAATTACTCATAGGTATTCCTAAAATTAAAACATTGGTATGTGGATATCATGGAAGAAAAGAGAATTGTACGTTCAATTAAAAGCAACGCAGAAAAAGAAAGTAACCGTTACTGTAACTATGTGTTGAGTTGGAATATCGAAAATAAAGCAACATTAAAAATGTCCCCTCAACGGTATACCACCTCATCGCGGCTGGGAGGTGTTCCTGAGTGTCGGGCTTCGATATTAGGCGGTGGGATTCATCCCCTGGCAGAGTCTCCCAAGCTGAGTCCAGTGTTTCCATCAGGAAGTCTAGCTAAGAGTAAACCAATACCAGGATCCACCACCGTCTTGGTATCAAAGTCGCATGATGACAAATCTCCCTTTGGTCCACAAGGGCTGCGACTGCCTGTGGTGGTGAAGACCTGAGGCAGACTTTGGTTAGGATGAACTCGGGATTCCAGGGAACCACAGTGGCTTGACCAGCAAATCACCGAAAAATGGGGTTATGCTGGGGCCCGCACAATCAGTGAGGACGGGCCATTCAAGTATCAAGTATTAAAAATGTACTACATTTCTATATAGTGAATCAATAGACAAGGCTTGATGATGAAATTATCGATACCCAACACCACTGAGGATCTGAGAACTTAACATACCTCCACAATGTTTCAGAAGTAGCTTTGCCTTATTGAATTAAACGTATCCCTAAACTTTATGAAACATTCCTTTAATTTTAAATTCTCTCAAAATTTCAACCTTTCAACAAAAAAAGATAAAACGAAGCGCAAATTAGTTAAACATTTCAATACAACTGCGCAATGGCTCTAAGCGTCAATGAAGAGACACTGGAGAACACCATCGTTTCCCGTTTGGTGAAATCCTGCCTATTTAATGGCTTTCCTCCAGAAACGAAAGTCTATGAAGAGAAAAAAAGTGTTCTGCGGAATCCAGCAAACCATAACTCTATCGTGATGGTTGGGGAAAACGTTCAATATGCTGCCGAGGATCTTTACATTCTGAAGAAATTTTTTCTGAATACAAAGCTAACTGTACTACAATATGCTTTAGTTGGAGCTATAAGGTCGCAGACTAACAAGAGCAGTTCTCTTAGGTAATACAGGAGTCGTATATGGCTTATACCCACTGATAATAAATGGTACGGCATTCGTGTTGAAATAGTGCTAGACTTTGTCATCAGTAGCTTCAACGGTGATCGAAGGAAAACTTTAGCAAAAGAAAAATTGAGCCTTGGGGAAAAAGATGAATATCGAAAGAAGTTTACTGGAAATTTCTTAGAAGAAATTTACTATTACGCTTCTGTTAGACAGTCATCACTTCCAAAAGAACAAGTTTACACATGAATTGCAAAACTTTCGCTATTACAGGATCATCTCTGCTCCTGAAGAACTGTTTCCAACGCAGATTATACTGAACTAAAAGCAAAAGGATAAAGTGACTAAACGATAAACCTATCTCATTAAAGTGCGACGTCAGATTGTTCGTTTCCCATTCACGAAATCGTCGACGCACTGAATATGAATTATATTCCTAGAACGACTTTTGAAGACTGTTCAATAGATAACTAACTTAATGTCCAATACTTCACACATAAGTCCGACAGCTCTATAACAGCAGTCCTACAGCGACAAATCGTCTCATTCCTCATAAGGAATTCACTTCGTAAGAAGAAAAAACAACGATCTCAGACCATTGCGATGATAGAAACGTCAGCGATATTGCTTCGTAGACAAGTATCTTCATGGAAAAGTGTATTTCGTACGGTTTATTGCCAAGTAACTCAGAAATCCATCGGTATCGTTGAGATGAGAGGGGATACTGCTTGCAAAAACTAGATGAAATCATGGCGTATGGCAAAAAGAAGGGACATGGTTTACAGAAAACACGAACGTGTTATGTATGGAAGCAGCATAACATCATCATAAAGTGCTTTGGGATAATAAATAGAAATCGACTAATGCGAAAACACATGTACGCCCTAACTACCTTAGCAAGTTTTGGCATTAATGCTCACAATTCACTAAAAAGCTTTATGAACTGTTTTATGTGAAAGGATTGAATTTTACGCGCCCTAAAGCTATTATGGACAGCATGAACTATTGAGGGAAAATGTGAATCATAAAGAAACGCACGGACCTCATGACAAAACTCCATACGTCGAAGTTAACAACTACGATTATATAGTAGTATAAGTACGGTACATTAGTAATTCACACCGTAAAACAAGTAAAAAAGTAATAAGTAACAAATACATAAATAAGAAATACAATATTAATAACTAAATAGGTACTTCTCAGAAAGTATCACTTCTTTCGATGGTCCCCACTAGAGAGGTAAGACAGTCCCAATCGTTGCGAAGTTCTTTCGACAAGCCACCGCGTAAAAACACAATACAGCACAAAAAGACACTATCTACTGTTACTAAAATATTGGGAATCCAGCTAGTGTTCAAATACAATCCACTGCGAAAAAGAAATAAAGAATTTAGCGACGACACGTTACCCTAAGATATTTCCAGGCGACAAGTTAAATGAATTGTACGTAGGCGTTTCCCGCTCAGTTTGTCACGCACAAATGCACCACGGGATATTGAAATACTGTGACAATCCGGAATCTGCATTTCTCTGCCTTAGCGACCTGTGGAATCCTTTGCCAAGTAGTAAAAGCTTACTAATGCTTCAGTTTTAGCTTTTTCTTACTGGTATTTTTAATAGATGGGTAAACTTCCCAGTTCGCGTTCTTTCATTTATGACTCATGCTACTAGGATACTAGGATGGCACGTCTTCACTAGTTGTGCGGACCCCAGCATAGTTTCCATTTTTTCTGATTACTGATTTAGCCATTGTGGTTTCCTGGAATTCTGAGGTCAGCCTGACCAAATTCTGCCCGTGGTCTTCACCACCACAGGCAGTTGCAACACTTGTGGATCAGAAGGAGAGTTGCCTTCATGCGACTAATATGGCACCTGGTGGATCCTGGTATTGGTTTATTCTTATCTGGGCTTCCTGATAGAAGCGCCAAACTCCTTCTCAGCTTGGGAGGCCCTGTCGAGGGGATGGATCTCCTAGCCGTACATCGCAGCCCGACACCTAGGAAGACTTCCGTGCCACCATGAAACGTGAAACTATGGGGAGGTTTGTAGCCCATAGTACTCGAAAATGGTGTACTTAGAAATTAGGGACACTTGTTCTCTGCACTTGCCCTCTTTTCGCTATTCTGATGCTTCCAAGCTCGCATGCTTCGTAAAAACTTTTTTCCGAAATTTGTTGTTCTCTTTTCTCTACTGAGCGGTTTTTATAGAATGAGTCTGTACACCAATGTGGGCTTGAATTTCTAGGGTAATATCCGCTTCCCAGGTGCTCGAGCTCAAAATATGGGGCTCCCTGTTCTAGTTCTTGCAATGAAAAAAGCCGTAAGTGGCCACATGCATTAAACTCTGAGCTACGAAGCACTGTGAAATGTCATTTTTCAAAGATCTCCTTCAATTTTGCCCAGTGTCGGTGGTGTAGTGCGAAAGCAGCTCATGTTGCTACTAGTTTGGCCACTGGTGTAAAGCCCGTTGAAAAAATCAGAAATATTGGTGAGTTTGGTCCTTACCTTTCCACTACGGCAATTTCCTGTCTGACCTTATCTTTGTTTTCAGGTATTTCCGCTCATATTGATTCTGGAAAGACCACAGTGACAGAGAGAATTCTTTTCTATGCCGGAAGAATAGATGCGATGCATGAGGTGATTTTTCTAAGCCATCTGTTTTGCCATCCACTTTTCTCTTTAGTAGGATTTCATACATTCTTTTGTTCTTTCTCCTACGGCCCACCTTGAAGACACGAATGTTGAGGTTCGTGGTAAAGATGACGTTGGTGCTACCATGGATTTTATGGAACTGGAGAGACAACGTGGTATCACTATTCAATCTGCGGCCACCTATATTGATTGGCATGGAACAAACATAAATATCATTGATACTCCTGGTGAGAAGTTTATGTTTTTACCCTAATTTTATATGTTTTGATTAGTTTTACAAGATTAATGAAGTACGTTTCGGAGACGGTGGAATGCTGTTCAGAAAATCGACGCGTCCTGTTTACCATCACTATGCTTTGTGTTACTTTCAAGTGCTTTTGATTATGAAAGAGCCAGATGACAATTGGTGGTCAAGTAGCCTTAAATGTCTGTTAGGTTTCATTGAGAACTGTGTTCACTTGTGTATGCTTGTATTTTCACTGTAAATGTTTTTCTTTCGAAAGGATACAACTGCCATTGAGTTGTTTCGTTGGTGAAGCGATGCCCATAAGCATTGAATTTAGCACAGTGCTAGGTGTTTTGATACGTGATGACTGGTTATTCAGTTTTCTAATTTTAAGGTCATGTGGATTTCACAGTGGAAGTAGAGCGAGCACTACGCGTCCTTGATGGTGCTGTACTGGTTTTATGTGGTGTCGGTGGTGTGCAGTCACAAACTTTCACCGTTAACAAGCAGTTGAGCAGGTTAGAGTAGTGATTTGCTTCTGGATCTCTGTGTCCATATTGGTTCTAAAACGTTTAGATACAACGTGCCCTTCATTTGCTTCGTAAATAAAATGGATAGGTCGGGTGCAACACCCCTTCGTGCTTTGGAAGGACTTCGCAGCAAACTGAAACACAATGCAGCTCTTATTCATTTGCCCATTGGAAAGGTTAGGATGGCATTTGTGTGTTTTTCTTTTCTTATGGTTTAACACTTTGATTATTTTTCGGGATTCTAACTTTCGGGGTATAGTCGATTTAATCGAAGAGCGAGCCTTATTCTACGAGGGAGTTGACGGCTTGGTTGTTCGATCGGGCGAAGTTCCGAAGGATATGCTTGAACATGTCAAAGACTTCAGGCAAGAAATGATAGGTAGTTGCTTAGAACAGTTTCGCTTTGCAGTACACATTTTCGGATATAGTGTTGTAATTTCCATTCATTACCATATCAGAACACTTGGCAAATGGTGATGACTTAATTGGTGAGATGTTCTTAAACGATGAAAATCCCAGCGTTGAGCAGATTCATGCAGCCATTCGGAGCTCAGTGATAAAGGTTAATTTTGATTATTTAAAGCCTTGTCGTTGACGATATTACAGTTTCCAGCGTTCATTTCTTCCTGTTTTATGTGGTTCAGCCTTGAAAAACAAAGGTGTTCAAACCATGGTCGATGCCGTTGTACGGTATTTGCCTGACCCCAGTGAAGTAATAAATCGTGCTACTATCAAGGACGGAGGGTATTTACTCTTATACTCGTGAAATTCATTCCTTATGTTTTTAATTGGTTTTAGAGATGAAAAAACTATAATCTTCTCCCCAGAGAGGAGCAACATGAAACCGTTTGTGGGGCTGGCTTTCAAGCTTGAGGTCGGTTATCTAAATGTTGATTCATGCTCTGGTTTTTCTAGCTGTCGTTTGCCACTTTATGCTTCCAATTGCAGGCCGGGAAGTACGGTCAACTGACTTATTTCCGTGTGTATCAGGGCCAATTGAATAAAGGTGATACCGTTTACGCATCGAAGGACGGACGGCGAGTGCGTGTACAGCGACTGGTACGCATGCATGCTGCAGAAATGGAGGTCTGATGGTTGTAAGCTTTTCACATTTTAATTTTTTATTGGATTTCGTATAGGAAATAAATACGGCATATGCTGGCGATATTTGCGCCACTTTTGGATTAGACTGTCATTCTGGGGAGACCTTCTGCGGCGATCCTACAATCATTCCTCACTGCGTATGGTTTATGATTTTCCGTTTGTTGTACGTTCTCTTTTCTGTTGGTATGTGAATTTCGATTTAGGAATCTATGCATATACCAGAGCCGGTTATTTCTATGTCAATCAAGCCGATAAATAGGAAGGACGGCGATAATTTTATCAAGGTTTTATGTTTTAGATTTCCATTTTGAGAAACTTAAGTTTTTGACTTCTTTCTATGTATACTCATCACCTAGGCGTTGACTCGCTTTACAAAAGAAGACCCCACATTCCGCCGAGAATATAATCCAGAAGCAAAAGAAACTATCGTGTCAGGAATGGGAGAATTACACTTGGTAATGTAAAGGCTTGACCATGTTAACTGCCTAATGCCGTTGTTCGTCCTTGAAATAGCGTTAAGATGATTTTAATTCACTTAGGAAATTTACGCACAACGAATGAAAAGTGAATTCAACTGTCCTGTTGAATTGGGCAAACCAACGGTTGCTTATCGAGAGTGTATAGTCAAGCCATACAAGTATGTCATTTTATCACATCCATTGTTTTATGTAAATTGAGTGTTTTTTCTCCAAGTTTCAGACAGTTTCACTAACATGGTTCTAGGTTTCACTACCGACACAAGAAGCAAACTGGCGGTCAAGGACAGTTCGGAGAAATTGAAGGAATTATCGAACCACTCCCCGCGGAGAGGTACCTCGTTCAATCGTTAGTCCGTCTTTTCACGATCTTTGTTCAGGAACACGTGCGTGGAGTTTACGGACGAAACCTATGGAAACAATATTCCGAAAAGCTTATTTCCCGCTTTGAAGAAAGTTTGTATCGTACAAATCCCTTCGCATGATATATGAATACTATGTGTATATATATATATGTATATTATTGACAAGGACTTAACGAAAATGGTTCCATTCTAGGGTCTGGATATGATTATTGTTGAAGGACCCCTTATTAAAGCTCGTGTCACTGGAATCAATGTAAGAATCCAAGATGGTGCGACTCATGCTGTTGATTCAACAGAGATTGCCATGATTAATACAATGAAGAATATGATGCGGGAGGGTGTGTTTTATGCAAAGAATTGTTTTAAGTGACATATTGTTCGTGTTATAGCCTTCGAAAGAGCTCATTGGATGCTTCTGGAACCCATTATGAAGGTAGAAGTCACGACACCTTCAGATTTCCAAGTAAGGATTTTGATAATTTCTGTTGGATATAGGATTCTCAAGAGGTGGACGAGATTTAGGGCAGTGTAGTGACGTCACTTACTCAACGAAATGCCTTAATAACGTCTACAGATTCTATTGAAGGATATGCGACTGTAACCTGCGAGGTTTGTTACTTCGGCTTATTCGTCTCCTTTGTTGGTCGCTGTCACTTCTGTGTGAAAAATTTCGTATTAAAGTGCCCACTTGCTGATATGTTTGGGTACTCATCCCTGTTGCGTTGTATAACTGAAGGGAAAGGCGAGTTCACTATGGAATATATGAGGTTGGTTGTGTTCTACTGCCAAACGCTTTTTGCGTTGCCTCTGCAAGTGAATTCAGCTTTTGCCAATTGTATAGTAGTCTGCACTGTTTAAGGTACGCCCCCACCTCGCAAGATGCCCAAGACACTGTTATTCGTGAATGGCAAATAGCTCATGGTCTCCTTGATCCCAATGCTGAGAAGAACAAAAAGAAAAAGAGGTAAACACTATGCTACACGAGCAATCTATGCAATCTCTTGATAGTTGTACAGTTCCGTGTTTAGAGAACTCAATTTTTGTTGTTATTATTTCTTAGGAAATGTTAGTAATTGTTAAGCTCTATTGTTATTCTTGATGTAGAAAGCTAGAAGCAAATTCGTCTGAATACTTATGTTGTGTTCTAAATATTTCATATCACGGGAATAAAGTTGCAAAAGTGTTCTGGACCTAGAAAGCCTTGTCTAAGCCTAAGTATGTGAAGGTGGACTGGAGTACATAACATTTCTCTGGCATTTGTGATAGATAGTAATACGTAATGCACTGTCTTTTATAATCAGGAACATCAGAACCATATCATACCTTGTCACACGGTGTTCGATTCGTCACCTTCGTTATTTCCACAGTTTATGTGATTATATGACGTTATATTTACTAGCAAAGTAGAATCCACTTAGCCTTTTAAGCTGACAAATCTTTCAATAAAGAGTTTGTTTCATATTTATAAGCGTATTACATCGTTATTGCTTCTGTAAACTTAGACCTAGTGGATCACTTGTCGTTCTTCCTTTTTTTCTTCGCAGCCTCTCTGCTACCCAACTTTGCCACGTTCTCACTGCCCTTTTTTTTGCTTTCTTTGCTCTTTTTAGGCGATGTTTTTTCACTGTTCTTCTTTGAACAGCTTTTTGACTTGCTTTTTTCTCCTTTACTCTTCCTTTTCGAAGATTTTGAACTTCTTTTAGATGATTTTGAACTCCTTTTCGATGATTTTGATGATTTCCTTTCATGCTTAGTTGTTTTTTCTATCTGACTCTTTCTTATCATTCCATAGTTGTATGCTGAACTAAGGGGGCTAAAATGGTGTATTTTAACACAAGGTTAGTTAGGTTGAATAACCGGGTGATGATACTTACACTGAGACGCCGAAAATACACGGCTGTGATCGTTTGGAATCCTTTTTTATCTCATGGAGATTCAAAATCTCTTCGTAAAGTTCTTCATAATTCACTGTTTGGCTAAAAACCAGTTTTCATAATCATGAAAGCTACAGCTAGAATTTTCGTTAAACTTGCTATGACGGCTGGCTATGAAGCCATTCGTAGAGCTTGCAGTAATTGGTGAGAAGAGTGTTGTGTTGGGCATCTTCAACATTCTTCCACCTTTCCACCTCCTTTTTAGTGTTGATGATTCGCTATAATGTGACAAGGTTGCTAACTGGATTCCTATAATTTCCTCATATTTGCACGTAAGACATTACCTGCTTTTCTATTTGTGTGTGCCACGGTACATTCCCTAGTACGAATTCAGTCATCATGTAAATGCATGATATAAGATCGTCTACAGCTGTAGGTGCTTTTCCGCTCAGAGTTTCAACACTTCTAAAACCGTGAGTAATGTATGTATGTATATGTATTCAAAATTAATGTGGCAGTAAAGAATGTTGGAATTTTCCGAAATTTTACCCATATTTCCAGTTCCCTACGTAAGTAAGGCCGGTACGAAGACGTGCAAGATGTGCGCGATATTTTCTGCATGTCCACAATTCCGTGATGGCCACAAGGTCACATAGTTCGCACTCCCTTCTGTAAAAGTCTACACTACATAGTGTGCTCAGCTATAGGGAGGGTTTATTTGCCACGTAGGATTAGTAGAAGCAAGACGGGCTCATTTGAATTAGAATTCAGTTTTCCATTTTCTACCGAAGTCTTCGTAATGCTACAGATTTTGGTGTACTTGTTCTATTCTAACTTTCATAATAATTTTTGAAACTCTACACGGAATACAGCTACTTTAAAGTTTTCGTAATATTAGACCTGATGAGAATTCCACGAGGAAGCCGAATTGAGAAGTATGCTGGTTGTACATTTCGGTGAGCGAATCCTTTCAAATGTAGAAGTCTCAAAGCCTACAGAAGAGCATTAGCGATGTTGTTCTGGAATAGTATTGATCTTTCAAGAACCTGTATACATCCGATGGTCAGGAAAAGTGATGTGTGGACTGGCAGATGCTTATTCCTGTCTGACTTGAAGAATGTCTCAACAGTGGGTCCAACCATCTCCAGGATGAAGTATGGGCGAGGTATCTGCGGCCTTTCGATAATATCAGGATGTCGGCGGTTATCGTCGTCAATCTAAAATAATTAGTTATCTATATATTTCTCGCTCTTCACTTTGTTAATTTTTCACTTCTTATGACTATGACTATGACTGCAATGGAGACAAAAAGAACGCTGTAAATGAAAGTTAAAACACTATGATGTAACAACTTACATCCAAATAGCGTAATTCTCCCAGATAGCCTCGGCCGAGTATGGCGGGGAAGCGTATGCGACAGGCATGGTTGGTGTACGATCTTGCTAGCATTTTGAACATGGAGTATTCATGTTTGAAGACCTGAAACTTGTAACTGGCTTCTAGCGCAAGGTGTTCCGATGCGCACTATATTGCAACCTTATGATCGATGTCCGAATCGAAACGACACAAGCGAAGCACTGCTTCACGCTTTTCTTTCGGTAAGCGCTAAAAGTAGTAAACTGAGCCATAACCAAACTCACATTAAACTAACAGAATATGTCAAACCTCTCGGATTTTTTGACCTCCAATTTGGTGAAATGAGTTCATACGATACACATCGTAGTCTGTTGTTATTCCATCAGCTCGTCTGCGGTTAAAATAGTCTGACAGGTAAGAGTATAAAATGTTATTCAAATGGCAACCTTACTTTTGGCGCATTCCTATAACTCTCCATGAAACTGGTGAAGACAATGATACATCTTCTAATGTACCCAACAAATTCCTTTCACAAAAACCAAGGTCGTCATGTTTCTGAATATATGTTGAGAAGGATTCAGAGATCACCTGATGTCTCGCATTTGTGGTACCTTAATTTTCTTAGATTTCCGTTTTCTTCGGAATGGCGATTCTTTGTCGCGACTTTTGCGAACGAAAAGCGTATTCGTCAATGTTTGCAGATCATGTTTATTTTTCCTGCAACATCTACGTTGTTAGTAAGTTGATACCACACAGATAGGTTATTAGCCACTGGAAACTAAACCACGAAAACCTGAGAAATCTCAGAGGAAAACTCTGGGTGGATGTGACTGTATGGATGTGATTACTTTGACTGCTCGGAAAAAACTAACTCTTTCTTGGTTTTTTTATGTTCATTCCGACGGCGAAAGCAAAGGCTTGTTATGAAGTGCCTCACATTCCTGAAGAACATCTCAAGTGGAACCACGGAGAAAGTGAAACCGAATGCGGTAGCTTCGTTCTTAAAATGCTATAGATCACTCCACTGATATGCACTGGAGCATTCGATCACCTTCAAACACGTTAAGCATTATGGATCATCGGTCAAGTTCTCATTATTCAATTATATGAACACAGAGCAGTCCATGTTTAGTATTTTATTTAACGTTCCAAATTTAGGGACGATAACACTTTCTCGCTAGAACTGTTAATAAGCCTTCTGTTCAGGTTTCGAAGAACGTTGTCATACACTAGCCGTATAGTAGAGCTATTTTAGGGTTAGCACATTCTATAATATTTAGTGGTTTGAGCTATTTCGCTCATCAGAAGAGTTTTAATAATCTCGGACAAAGTCTTTTTTGAAATAGAAAACTGAAAAGATATGTATTATCATCGCTTTTGGAATTACATTCCCATCTGTTGTGCATACTTACTTGGTACTTGAATGGCCCGTCCTCACTGGTTGTGCAGGCCCCAGCGTGATCTCTATTTTTCGGAGATTTGGTTGTTAAGCCACTGTGGTTCCCCCGGAATCCCGAGGTCAGCTTGGCCAAAGTCTGCACAGGTCGTTACTACCACAGGCAGTCGTCTCCGCCCTTGTGAATCAGAGGGAGATTTGTCGCCATGCAACTTTGATACCAGGACGGTGGTGGATCCTGGTATCGGTTTACTCTTAGCTGGGCTTCCTAATGGCAACCCCGGACTCCTTCTCAGCTTGGGCGACCCTCAAGGCGGATGAATACCTCCGCTGTACATCGCAGCCCGACACCCAGGAACACCTCCTAGCCACGATGAGGGGGTAAACCGTTGGAAGGTTCTGTTGTGTATGCAAACGGTAATGTTCGTCTGGTTTAAGATCCGGTTATTTATAAGTTCGTTTTAATGAGGATGGTTTTTCATTGAGAGCTAAGTGAATTCACAGTGAAGTGAACTCTAATTAGGCAACAAAATCTTCATGGAACGAAGTGTCATATAACTTTGGTCAAACTTGTTCAGAGTTATGTGAACTCGTTAATTTAAAGATTGCACAGGTTAGTTAGTTTGTCTTCACTTAATTGCATATGTAGGTTTTTGTAGAGTTTGAGGAAGCAGAAACAGTAGGTAAATTAAGTGTTAGTAGGTATTCGAAAGGTATTAAGGCCGATGTTTTTGAAAGGTGACATTCACTACACCGTACGAATCGTATAATCATACTGAACAATATAAATTTAGCGATGTTCCATTTTCTCTGAATTTCACTCGATGCGACTATGAAGATCCACATTGCGAGAAACAACTTAGGAATAAGTGGTTCTAATCATTGCCCATCGAGCGCTGCAGAACTTTATCCCCACGATGAAACGGTTTTGGTAACAACCGTGTGACGCCCGTCATCACGGACACGGTGCTAGTTCGATTCTGCTCCGTGTTAACCAAGCCTGTCATCCCTCTAAGGTGGGAAAATTGCTATCGGACTCTACCGGAAAAAACCATTCTCTGTAGTGCAAATGGGAACGCTGTATCCTGGCCATATCAGAACTCTATGGAGAATCGACTCGACCAGCATTCGAGGACATTCAAGATGAAATGAAAATCCTCAGGCAGCAGCCGAACCCACACGTAAAAATTGTAAGACCTGTGTATGAAGGATGCAAGAAGCGAATTTAATATGAGAAGTGTTGAGATCCTCGCAGCAGATGTGAAGGCAGGTCGTATAAAATGAAGTAAAAGAAATGGCTACCATTTAGAGTGGACAGGTTTAAAGAATACATGAATAGACATAGCATAAGCTGTGAAACACAAACAGCTGTGTGTACGCATGATAGACCATAGTAGGATATAGTTCATAGTAAATAACATATACTCAACTCATGCCCATAGAGTGATAGAGCAGCCTTTTCTATGGCGCTGTCCTGTTGTCAAGCCTTCAAATCTTCTGTTTATCGAAATATCATCGTCTTTTGTCGAAAGGTTGAAAAACAAGTCATTTCAAGCGAACATGAAGAGGCGCATTACACTATGAAGGAGATCCATACTGCTTTGATATACGTCGTATTTCACATGCGATTAGTATTTTGTAGACAAACTGAATAGATATGGATACTCATGCTCCATATTTTTCACAGTATTTTCTTAGTATTAAGCTCCACGATGATTCTGAACGGGAGATGAAAATTACGTGTCAAATTTTTAAGTGCTCAAGAATGTGCAAGGAATGTGTTAGGAAGGAATCACTTTTATATTGTTGGCAACAATCCTTGATGAATGCAAGCTTTTGGGGAGATCGCTTTTACATGGCTAGTATCTACGTGTGCATGTTCCCGAAATTCCTTAGTTCGTCTTCTTACCTTGTAACCGTCATCCACAGAGGTGATCGGGCTTAGGTGTGCATTCGGCTTCAATTTGAAGCTTTGTTATCGCCTTTCCTCTTAGATTGTTTGAATGCTCATCGAGCGTGATTTTCTCTGAAATCTCGAAATGGTGATGCTTTTGTAGGTATTATGGCTGAAACTGTGCCAATAAAGTATCCACTCTTCCTTGTTGCATGCCATACTTACAAGATTTCTAGCCTAGAGGGTCACGAAGGCGCGAGATGTTTCTCGACTAGGATCGTTGTGAAGAAATCTGTTACTGTGATAGATCGACGGACTCCTTTTGTCCACCGCCGTCGTTAAGACACACCATACATCCGGCCCATCTCATTTTCAAAACACTGGTTTCGGCGCAGAGTCGCTATTCCTTGATTGTTGACTTAGGGCAAAGCCTGGATTCTCTCTGTCAAGTGCGCAGTAAGCGGCAACCCTAAATCCAAATGTTTGATAACACAGACCATATTTTATCCTTCCCTACGTAGCCTTCAAGTCTCCGAGTTCTTCTTCATGTAGAACCTGGCGTTCTTTATATTCGTTACTAAACCGTCAATTTTCTCGTAAGCTTTCCAGTGGCTGCATGATTTCTTGTGATCTGCTCTTACACTGTCTGAAGTTTGTCATCAGTCGTTTTAAGTGTTTACTTCTCGACTCAGATGTGCATAACTGCAGCAATCGCCAATACTCATTCTATTTGGAGTGGATGGTACATGTGATAGTAATCCGTTTCTCATGAACATCGTTTTCTTGAAATTTGATCTAAAGCGGATTTTCAAGGAGTTCTTCCGAAATCGACCTGGATTTGATTACGCCACTCTAATGAATTATGTTATAAAAGCGAAGTCATCAATGAAGTGGGACCGTAGCTACCAGTTTTTACATTTTCAGCCACATATTAATTAGGACGAGATATTGTTTCGTTGTCAAACAAATCTCATTACGTCAATGGATAATGTCATTGACTAATGGTGGATTTTTCATTTCTGACACTTCAGTGTCTCACCTCAAGGACCTCTGTCTGTTGAGTGGAGGCGCCTTGGGTTTTTAAGTTCTCCACAACTATCTCCACCGCAAAGCTTTTTTTATATCAATAAATGCAGGAGAAAAGCGACAGGTATCTGAATTGACATTTCTTTGAGGGTTGATGCTAGATTCTTCAGGCGTTTGGCACCAATTTTATGCGAAATTGGTAATTAGTGCTGCGTGCTCTCTCAGCAATAAGAGTGTATGTCAGATTTCAAATGGGTTCTTAGAACTAAAGCATAATAGAAGTCATGGGTGATCTTTCCTACTAATCTAATGGGTGAGGTTACTATTCCGTCTTGACAGAAGATTGCTGCCATTCGTTCGGTAATTGGCAATGTTCTGGTTAGCACTATGAATATTAGTGCGTCGTTTTCTTTCTCAGTAATCGCGTCGTTGTTAAACAGCATAAGTTTACGTCCATACAAAAGCACACATACAACAACAGTAGCTGACGTTTCGGCAGTATGTCAGTGCTCCAACCATATGTCGTCAACCATGCGCCACTCTGATCAGCGGTTCTTCCTCAGTGGAAGGCACGCAAAAACGGCTTTGAAGAAGCTTTACCTCTGAAAGGTCAGCTACTGTTGCGTTGTATGTGTTTTGTACGGAAGTAAACGTAAGCTGTATAACAACTTCGTGATTACTGAGAAAGAAAATGACGCGTTAGTAATCTAATGCCGAGGTTAATAGAAAGGCGATCCTTGGAACTGTATTTATTTTTTTCAGTGCCTGCAAATTCGGCCATTACTGGTCTCTCGTCCTCCTCATGGCTTTCCCTCATTGCATCTCTGAAAAGCTTCGCAAGTAAGAACCAGTATAAGCCGACTTTCTGGTGACGCGTTTCGTAGAACTGTTTTGATGTTGTTGCATAATTCGATCACAATTCTCATAGATAATTTTAGCAACAATTTCTTTTTAAAAGCCAGCAGATGATGTGCGAAAGTCCTAGTTTACTATCGATTCAAGATTTTGTTTATAAAATTTCGCTACTTCGTCTCTTGGCGAAAAAAAGGAATCTTGCACGAAAGAAGCGATGGTCTTAATCAGTATACAACTTTGGAATAATGGCAGTGCCGGTTAGACAAAAGTTTCGAGTTACTACGATTTAGCCTACTTCGGAGTGATGGTCAGTCCCAGGTCCAATGTTGAGAAGATACAACCACAATGATGCTAAGATATTTGCAAAAATGCGGAGCGCAGGTGTCTGTGGTAGTGATCGAACACGCGATTACCCTTTTCGAGGGCTAGCGCGTTCACCACCACACCATGCGGGCCTTTCGTTTCGTCTGTCTCACAGCCGTGTTCTTGACCTGTAGGCGCTACCAGCAGTCACCCGTCAACAGGATTGGTATGGTGGGCGCAAATGGGCATTGGACCCAGTTAAGCTGAGGCCGTAGTCAAAATCACAATGTTAGCTTTTTATTTACTGCCTAATACAATTTTTTAGGGAGGGATATTATGTGAAATATTTTCATTGTATTCACATTCCTTGTGGCTGTATTTCCACATAATACACGACTTTAAGAAATTGTAGTAAGCAGTGAATAAAAAATTAACATTCAGGAGATAGCTTCAACTTCCTGTGAGTTACCGTGAAAGAATAGGCGGAAAATAAAAATTAAAGCATCCTAATCTTTCGTTTAGCTTCAGTTTAACTAAACTCAATGCCGATTTTGTTTCCCAGATCATTCCCGCTAAAGGGTGATGGCTGATAGCAGCCGTCAAGTAAAAGCTGAAATAGTGGTATACAGGTAGCCTTGGTTAGTGTGTCCACATTTAATGAATTTCTGCACACTGTATGATTCGTTCGCTTCTCACAGTTCGTTGTAAGGCCTGATATCGTGTATGGCAGTGCCAAACCACATTGAGATCCTATGATGTGCATCATATTGAGTGTGACATTTTGCTTATGGGTAAGCTTTTTTACTGGGTCGTAAGATTGTCTGCCTAAACGCTGCCAAGTTGTCTACAGAAGCTCTCAGCCATTGCTCTGCAATGAAGACGTCTTAAGTTCGATTCAACTCCTCGATCCAACCAAGCCCTCCATCACTATGTTTTTGGCAAATTGGTACCAGTATTGTTTGAGAGGATTAAATTACCTAAGTGATGTATCGGTAGGCACTCGAAAGTTACTGTCGAGTTCAATTTTCTATTCAATCTCTTCTGCAATGGTAGCGAATGGAGTCTGATGCATAGCACATCTCTCAGGGGTTGTGCAACACTGAGCGATTTATCCATCTCACCCTAATACTACTGCTCATATGACCTAACTTGGAATGCAAACCTCTTTTTTGGTTTTGCAGGGAAAGTTTCATCTGGAGTAATACAAATATCAGCTACACTTACGCCACTAGTGAAAAGTGTTGGGGAGATGTTGCAACGGGAGTAAGTTGCAACACGATATACATTCAGCCTTCCTCCCAACGGTTTACCGTCTCATCGTGGCTGAGAGGTGTTCCTAAGTGTTCGACTGCGATGTACAGCGAGGAATTCATCCTCTGGCAGCGTCTCCTAAGCTGAGAAGGAGTCTGGCGTTTCCATCAGAAAGCCTAGTTAGGAGTGAACCGATACCAGGATCCACCACCGTCGTGTTATCTACTCGCATGGTGGCAAATCTCTCTGTGAACCACAACGGCGGCGACTGGCTGTGGTGGAGACGACCTGGCAGACCTTGGCCAGACTGGTCTCAGCATTCCAGGGAACCACAAAGGCTTAACCAGCGAATCTCTGAAAGATGGAGATTATGCCGGGGCCGCACAACCACTGAGGACGGGCCATTCAAGTATCAAGTTTACATTCAGCTTAGAATTCGCTAGAATGCGAAATCTATATTTGAGAAGTTTAGTTTGAAGGTTTTTTAGGCATAACGCGTTGCTAGTTTGGTCGATACCAAGTACGGGCCCGAAATTCCAATAATTCAGCAAGATCGACATTTCATAATCTTTACTTGAAGAAATAAGCCAGTGAAATCCATCATTTTGACTTTTGTTTATATCTGGACTTGATCTTTTCGTTTCCATATTTGGTAGCTTGTTTGACAGTGTAGCTAAAAGCTGGAAGTGCACAATGAAGAGGCAATAAAAATAAATCCTCACACTGTCCCAAAATCGTAGACTCGATTTGAATGCTGTCGTCGAACCCATAAACATAATGAACAACAATAGTTTATGCTTATGAATCTGGGAGCTGCTATCATCTTTTATCCCATATTTTCTTTTCTTCTTGTTCTGACCTACTACAGATATCTTCCAAGTAACCAGCGTTGTTTTCTCAAACCATACTATTTGATTTAAGCTGCTTCGTCTTTAACAAGTGCTCCAGTGATCTGAACAATATTTTGGGATGTCGACAGTGTAGTCGCCTTCTTTAAATGCGATATTAAGAGACCGTTTATCGAAGCCAATTCTTCAAGTCAAATGAGAACTTCCCAAAGTCCTGAAGTCCCTGGGTCAACAGTCGAGAGTGGGAATGAGAACTCATTTAGTGCTCTCTATAACGTTGCGGACTAATTTGGTTGCATAATTGTTTGATCTGTATGCAGTCGCCAGAATATTTGACAACAATCGGCTTAATCAAATTAGTTCAATATGTCTAACGAATCGTAGATGCTACCAGGATTACAGCTAGACATTTCTTGATGAAGCCGTTAAAAGCAAAGTATGCTTTTCATGTTTCTGAAGAGCAGAAGAACTCATTCTGCATGAGTAGCACGTGAAAGGTGCTAACGTTGCAATAATAGCGTTGGGAGACTGTTCAGCCAACCACAGTGATAATAAACAGATTCATTTCCAAGGTGCAAACGACTGATTACGTATCTTTAACGATTTGGTGAGAAGTGGGTGCTGCTTCTCATTTTTTCCTACGCTTTGCTGAAATGCGCAGAAATGTGAACATTTGAGATGAGAATCTCATGTTTTGGGCCTCATTTCGCTGTGGTGAATACCAAACTGACAAGTTTGTCCAGATAGAAATAATTTACTTAATCTATTCGTTTAGAAAGTCGCCAAATCGATGCGGCTGACAACTTTCGCAGTTACCGTTACAGGTTTACCATACCAGCATCCTAGAAACATGCATGGTATCACTCTTTCCCATTTTCTAACCCTTGTATTTCTGTGTCGTTTTCCAAGCAATCAAATTAGGAAAGCGGCATTACGAGTAAGCACCAGTATTTTAAACACTAACGTCAATGTGATAAAAAGGATAAAACTCTCGGCATTGATCAACCCCTGAGGGATGTGCCATTCATTCGACTTCATTAAGTATCGTCTGGTGGTGACTGAATGCATATCTGGCCTTTACAATGACTCGTGGTGGTCTATCGAGCCAGTAGTGCTATCTTTCCAGACAAGTCTGGTACCAATTTGCTGACTCCGGAGAGGCTTGCTGGGCGATGGGCGCGGGGATCGGATTCACATGTGTGTTGCAGAGCGCCTCCGACCACCGCGCCGCACGCCCCTCGTCAACGTGATCCACATATAATTCATACATGCCTTTGTACCGGTATATTAGCAATTGCGAGTGCTCTTATAGTTCTGCTTATTTCTGAATGATGTGCTGTTTATGAAGACTCACCTTTAAATTCCGTACACAATATGGATTCCTAGCAAGATCTTTATTTTCCTTCCTTATATTTAGTTTGCCACTTGCTTTTGATCTTGCTCTTTCATTGGCCCGTAGCCTGCCCCCGATCTCAGTTTCCTTAGAATCAGTTCGTACCGGCCATAAATCGTGATTAGTGATCAACGTCACTTTTGTGTGCCCAAAGTTTTATCAAGACATAAGACAAAGTGATAATTCTTTGTTTGCAACCATCTTGTTCACACAGCGCGGCCGTAGCGTCCACTAGGAAGACCATTACAACACCTTCACTGAATTGTTCTTCGCCTTTTTTCTTCATATTGGAAAGAGCACTGTCACCTTCTCTGTTACGTACTTCCGAAATAGCATCTTCGTCAAACCTAAATTTCATGGCATTTCAGATGTATTTGAATAAGTTGATCGTAGACAGCGATAATCCAGATATCACCGAAGAGCGACTCAAAGCCACATTTGATACCGATGCTCTGGCAGCCGAGTTAAAGGGCGGCTACAAGGCGAGTGCACCCACGGAAACTACAGCACTGAAAACAGTCGAAAACTTTTTAAAACACTTTTTGTTTCGTTATTATACTAAGCAAAATCAGGCCCAGACTTAGTGGAAATGATGCTATTTCATCGTAATCTAATAACCCGATGCTATGAGTTTCTATTTGTTTATTTATTTTTTTGTTTTTATTTTATTTGATCCATCTTCACTTCTGCTATGCGGATTCCAGCACTTCTGGCATCCAATTCGTTTTCTCGCATCCATCGTCCACGATGGTCTTCCAGGTTTTTACATGTGGCTTCGCTTGCTGCTTGAGGAATTTCATTTTATCTTGAATATCGTAGAATGCTGGTCGAGCAATTCTCCCTGGAGTCCTGAGACAGCCAGACTAGAGCGTTCCCAATTGGACTGCGGAGAGTGATTTTTTTTCCCAGATAAGTTCGGTACCAGCTTCCCGACCCCGATGGGATGAGAGGCTTGGTTGGACCGGGCGGAATCGAATTAGAACCATACCCGTAATGGCAGACATCACTACCGTTACCCCCACTATCTGTCTATTGCGACCATGTAATTTGTATTTTTTCTGCAATATTTAGGTATCATGGTTTGCTTTAATCAAATTACTTTTACTAGGTTGATTTATTTATTTATGTGATCTTATAAACTGATCTTCTTAAGCTGACGCGAAGTTGGTACAGATCTTCGTTGTCGTTGTCGTTGTCGTTGTTTTTGATGTTATTGAACGATGGCTGACGTTTCGGCGACTTCGTTTTCCTCAGAGCCTGGACGTACTTTATGTTAGAATACTTTTTATTATTCAATGGAAAAGAAGGTTAAAGTATTAATGAAAATCAAACTTTCAAATAGACGCTATATTGAACAGAAAGGCCACTCACCGTGATGTTACGTGCGGAACTACTGTCCCACACGTAGTTCACGTGGAGTCACGAGCAAGACACGCCCCGGGGTCAAAATATCATTTTGAAATAGGGCGCCAGGTCACGCGTGATAGCGAGGCATTCGTCCTTCCGGTTCATCCTTGGATTTTCAAAAAAAAAATCACCGACCCTTACTCTACTGTCGATACATAGACGACTGCTTCATTGTCCGTTCCACACAGGAACAGATGGATCAGTGCTTTGAATTATTAAACCGACAGTCAGAGTATATAAAATTTACACGAGAAAAACCTACCGAGAACTGGCTTCCATTCTTAAACATCCAAATAAAACTCTCAGTAAGTGGCTATGTAACAAAATGGTACCGCAAGCCAAGTAGTAAAAACATTCTGGTTCACTGCCTCTCCTCTCATCCTTCACACATGAAAAAGCACTTATCAAAAATATGTTTCGTACGGCTAAAAATGTGTGTACAGGAGAAGAGGAAAGGAAGGAATCGCGAAGCCTGGCACGAAAAATTGCCATTTCCAATGGCTACGAAGTAGAAGCCACTCGGGTTAGAGGAAAACGTTGGGTAGTTTTCCAAAATAATATTTCGAACGTAGGTAAGATCCCCTTTAAGCTACCCTTCATATCAAATGAAGTAAGTCACGCCATTAAAAAGTGCTTAAGGAAAAGTGGTCTTGAAAATTATGTAACGATTGTTGACATCCCACCCAATACCCTACGCCGCCAGTTAGTTCGAAACCGTCTCTATGATCGTTTGTGCAGCTCAGAAAACTGTATGATCTGTCCTAACGGGAGAGACGGGGATTGCATGAGTTTAGGTATAATATACTTGATCTCATGTAATGCATGCGGAGAGGAATATATCGGGGAAACGAGTAGACCACTTTGTGTCCGCATAAAAGAACATCTAGATGGGAAAGCTAAAATCCGTTTAAACAGCCCTCTAGGTACGCATAGGGCACAAAAGCACAGCGGCGATGATTTTGAAGTGAGTGTGCGGATCCTTGCGCAGGAATCAAAAACATCAACGCGCAGAACTCTTGAGGCGTTTTGGATAAATTTCAAAAATTCAAAGATGAACCGGAAGGACGAACGCCTCACTATCACGCGTGACCTGGCGCCCTATTTCAAAATGATATTTTGACCCCGGGGCGTGTCTTGCTCGCGTGAGCTACGTGTGGGCCAGTCCCGCACGTAACATCACGGTGAGTGGCCTTTCTGTTCAATATGGCGTCTATTTGAAAGTTTGATCTTCATTAATACTTTAACCTTCTTTTCCACCGAATAATAAAAGTATTCTAACATAAAGTACGTCCAGGCTTTGAGGAAGACGAAGTCGCCGAAACGTCAGCCATCGTTCAATAACATCAAAAACAACGACAACGACAACGACAACGAAGATCTGTACCAACCTCGCGTCAGCTTAAGAAGGTCAGTTTATAAGATCACATAAATAAATACATCAACTATCTATGCCGAGGTTCATAGAAAGTCGGTATTTCGAGTTATTTTACTAGGTTGGTTTTTCGAAAGCAGATTGTTTTCAGTTTCTGCTTCAGCAACTGGCATGATAGCTGTAGCTAAAGTTATCTGTGAAATTCTCTCGTGTTATGAAAAAAATAAGTTGATTCTAATATTCAGATGCTCTGAAAAAATAATGCACATCTCAAATGGCTAGAAATCTTTAGCATGAAATGTTTCAGATGGTGAAACGCGTGCGTGAGATCTACCGTGAAGTGGATCGTCGAGCAGAGCTTCACGATCCCTATCCGCAGTCCTACATGACAAGAGAAGAAAAGCTTGACAATTCATGTAGAAAGGTCGATAATAGATATATTGAACTCATGTTGTTTTCTCAAAAACTGGCACCCATTATTGATTAGGTGACAAATCTCTTCAAGCAGATATCCGAATTTGTCGACCCAACCAACCACACCGAAATGGTTCATCTTCTTCGGTACGACATGCAAAACTACTTAACTACGAGAATTGAGACTTGTTCTTTTTTTTACAGCTCTATTGTTGGAGTGGAGGGGTATCCTCTAGCTCTCCATATTCTTATGTTTGTACCGACACTTCAAAATCAGTGTGACGATGAGCAGATGGAGCGATGGTTAGGGAAAGCGATGAAAGCTGAGATTATTGGCACTTATGCCCAAACCGAAATGGGACATGGTTTGTTAAATTCTAGTTGCTCTGTGCTATAAATTATTCTGTACTAAATGGATTCGCGTAGAGCAGTGGTCGGAGGCGCCTTGGTATACACATGGGATCGATCCCAGCGCTAGAGGCTCACTATGCCTTCCATCCCTCCGGGGTCGGTAAATTGATGCCAGACCTATCTGGGAGGATAGCAGCACTGGATCGATACATCAGTAGGCGACCGCGAGGCATTGTAAAAGGCCAGATATTGTGTTCAATCACCTTTAACAATGTTTAATTAAATCGAATGCATGGCGCATCCCTCAAGGATTGATCAACGCCGAGAGCTTTATCCTTTATTATTTAAATTCAATTCTGTAACCCAAGTAGTAAACTCAAACTAGGTCTAATAACTTGCCCTGTGTGCGTGAATTTATGAGAAACACTGATTCATTCCGCAGAATGTATGCAAAAATACGTCAAGACTAGACCTGTGTAGAGAACTGTTGAACTGTTGAATGCTTTAATTACCACGAGCCAGTGTCAGTTGCAATACACCAATTATTCCTCCGGTAATGCCGCTCCTGAACTGACACACTGATCAAACTATCTGGATGAATGAAGGTCGCAGAAATAGGTGAAGATAGACAAAGTGCTATACATGGATTAATCTAGACCTAACGATCAAGTCGCTTTAATTGAGTCTGAAATCTTATGAATAACGAGAAGGGTCTTGAAATTTTTTGTGATGTTGCGATGTTTGCTTTGACATTGCTAAATGTTAATCGGCAGTGGTTAGGAAAGCGCATTGCCTATAGCATATTAACATTTTTGCAAAGAGCTTATACAGTAGAGCCAAGAAGCAAATATGGCCCAGGATTTTTTCCGTTGTTCGTGTTATTATTGCTGCCGGAACCTTTACGTGAAAGATCTTTGCGGTCTTTCTGCTGCCATTAACATAGCAATGGGTCCCAGTGGACGGAGGCTGGAATGGAAAATATTAGCGTTCTTTTTTTAGGAAAATAATTCCAGTTCGATGCTTGAATGCTCACGATTCATACTGCTTTCAACACTTTTTTCACTTTTTTTTTTATTTTGCTAGTTTTCTAAATCCTTTCCTCAAAACTTTCTGGGCACATGTGCCAGGGCGTAGCCAGATCATTGCCACAACAAATCGCCTTAACTTTTGAATCGTGCTGATATTTCCATTTTTTCGAGTAACCCTGATTGATTGCGACAACTTTGCTGGTAAACTTGATTTTAGCTGCAATTCCAGATGGACGAACTAGATATCCGACCTGGCTCTGTTTGGGTGATTATGCTAGGTGATCAATCCCTTTTGTAGATTGTAGAACAACTTACGAGCCGCTAGAAAACAAAGAATCTTTGGGTAAGCGTAGCTGAAACTTATTTAGTGATGTTGCTCGCAATACTACTTATCCATGGTGCAACAAAGGATAGAAATGTGATCCGGAACGGTTTCAAGAAAGGCGCATTAATATAGATCATATTCGTATTGGTATTAATTTGTTCGGAAACTAATGGATGACCTCAACGTGTATTTTTAAAAAGTGATCTCGGAAAAAACTTTATCAGTACGAATGGGACCATTAAAATTTGATCGTTTTGGCCAACGAGGGACAACTTTATATATTCCGGTTTTTTAAAAAGCAAGAGCTCTGGAAGCGATAAAGTCGTTGCAGGCAATAAGGAGTGCGATGTGTATCCGCACGTTATCGTGAGGGATTAGTCCTTTATACCGACTAATGCAGGGCACAGAATTTGAACCTTCTGATGCACCTCGTCGATTTGCTGTGTATACTTCTTCACTGTAATCGCCTTGATTTAAGAAGCTGGGATGTATCAAGCCGCTGGCAAGCAGCTTCCAATCAGCATGACCTTCTTTTGGTGCAATTTAGACTTTGAGAAGTGTTGCGGAGCTTCATAGCGGTCCGAGCACTAAGCCAACCATCCCGCTTGTCACATAGGAGCACTTTCTCATCGCACATCACAATTCGATCAAGAAACAGATCATTTTTGTTGCTCAGAAGAAATGCCGACAAGTCTTTAAAATTTCGATTTCTTTGATTGCCATTCAACTCGTACGGTACCCATATCTTCTTCGTCTTTTTAACTCTCAACTCTTTCCAACTCTAGATGTTTAGAGAAAGTTGAAACACTTAAACCGAGTTTTTCTGTCAATTCTGTATTGGTTACATGCATTCAGTCTTCAATTTATCGTCGTCAGTGGCAGAAAGACGTCAAGGACCCCCCTCAATTTCGACGTTGAATTCGCCCCAATGGAATTTTTGAAACTAGTGTTGTACTGTGAAATCGTCGACAATTCCTTGGCAAATAATTCGTTATTGTTCCGAACCATTTGCGCTGAATTGCCTCTGAGTCAGAAATCGTAAATTCGGTCTGTCGAAATTGCTGTCTTGGCAACTGAAACACTAACCATCAAAGTTTGCAAGCAAAAAATTTACACTGTAGTGCAATTATTCGGAGCGACATTGCCCAAAATGAGCTTCGTAATTATCTATAATAGTAAAAAATCCGTAAACGGACTACTGGCACATGTATACTTAGTTGGATACTTGGATGACCACTCCTCATTGGCTGTGCGGACCTCAGCATAATCTCCATTTTTTCGGAGTTTTGCTGGTTAATCCATTGTGGTTCCCTGGAGTCCCGAGGTCAGCCAGGCTGAAGTCTGTCTCAGGTCGCCACCACCATAGGCAGCCGCCGCCTTTGCGAATTTGTAAAAGATTTACCACCATGCTACTAGTTCGATACGAGGATCTTAGCATTGGTTTACTCCTAACTGGGCTTCCTAATGGAAGCGTCGGACTCCTTCTCATCCTGGGCAGCTCTGCCAGGTGGAGGAATCCACCCACTGTACATCGCAGCCCAACACCCAGAAACACGTCCGAGCCAAGATAGGGCACTAAACCGTTGGTAGCAGTGAACATATAAGAAAAATAAGTTTGCAATTCATTCATTAGTTTATGAGAGACTTAACTACATCCTTATACTCTTCAACGCTATTTATTTACTCATAGTCTTAGTTTTCATAAGATCTCCGAGTTCTCTAGGAGGTCGTGTGAAAACTAAACTGAGATAACATAGGGGTATTAGTCACCAGCATCTACACCATCTTCTCTCTGTCGATGACGTCGTTCTGCATTAAATACTAGGCAGGTGGAAAGAATGCTGGCTGATTATCGACTTTCCGCTGAACCTGAAGAAAATGGTATCTGTCAGAAACAGGTTCTTTGCATGTATCGTACGGAATGAATGTTGACAGATTTAAACAATTAATTCGAAATTACTAGTCTATCGCCGAACCTGAAGAAAACGATGCTCGTGAGAGGTAAACTTCTGCTGTAAATTTTGAACAACGGTGGCGATTAAAAGTCACGGACATTACCGCATGCATATAGTTGTCAAGAAATTGAATAAAAAGGGCAAGTCTCCAAACGGAAAAGCCCCGAAAATATCCATAGGTGGATGTGTTTTATTTCACTTTAGTTTCCATAGTTAGCTATTTCTTTAAGTCATGAGAAATTAGAACAAAGTGAAATACAACCACAACGTTGCTGAGATATTCGCAAAACTCTGGACCGCAGGTGTCTATGGTGGGGAACGAACGCGCTATTGTCCTTTCCGGGGAGTAACGCGTTCACCACCACACCATGCGTGTCCTTTGTTTCTCAGCTGTCTCTCAGCTATTTCTATCGATCTTTGCCACAGCAATCATCCGTCAGCGGGATTGATCTGGGGAGCCCAAATCGGCATAGAACCCAGTTAAGCTGCGGCTGTAGTTGAAATCACAATGTTATACCTTTTTTTTCTGCCTACTATAATTTCGCGGCAGGGTACTAAGCGAAAAAAATACCTGCGGTCCAGAGTTTTGCAAATATCTCAGCAACGTTGTGGTTGTATTCCGCTTAGTACCCTGCCGCGAAATTATAGTAGGCAGAAAATAAAAAGGTATAACATTAGAACAAAGTGTTATGAATGTTTTAAAATTGCTACCAAAATAATCAACGAAAATTTGGCTTGTTGATAAAACAGTTGCGACTGCTCATGGAATTTAAAACCATTATTAATCTTTTAAAGGTACGAATTTGAGTAGTATCGAGACACTTGCCACCTACGACCGCCGAACTGAAGAGTTCATTCTTCACAGCCCAACAACAACATCGATGAAATGGTTGAGGACTTGAAGGCTGTTTTATTTAAAGCTCTTCCTATTGTGTTTCTGTGGCTAATATTTATTTCTTAACAAATTTAGGTGGCCAGGTGGTCTTGGAAAAAGTTGCAATCATGCAATAGTTGTTGCGAAGTTGATCATAAATGGTCACGATTATGGTCCGCATAATTTCTTCGTTCAGCTAAGAGATTCAGAAACACATTCGCCTTTACCAGGTTATCCAATGAGTAATCCTTAGTTTTTGTTCACTTACAGGGATTCTTAGATGGCCCAAATTTAGTGCAATTGATTAACGTGAAGCACACACGTCAGCCCATCGCGCAGGTGATCCCCTAGCATACGTTTGCACCCACATAGACACAGACTTTGCAGTTCTTTTTGCTCCAATGTTTTCTACTCATTTTCCTATTATACAAACGGCCTATCTATATTTTTCTACCGATATGTACTTTCTTAAATCCGGGATATGTTACGAAGATCCGAGCTGCGCATTCCGGCTAAACGTTGTATGGAGCTGTTAAATTTCAGAAATTGTTTAAGTGCGCTTTGTGTGATGAGCAGAATTTATTGTGTGGTTTAAGTATCAACTTAATTCTCTGTTAGATAGCACAGTACTTGGAGGACCGTGATGAGTAGAAAAGGTAGGCGCGGTGTTCAGGGTCTATCACTTGGTCGGTAGCCTTTTTTAGAAGCCCAAAAGCTGCCCAAGCTACTCTCGTTTTGCTTAATTTCTGTCCATAATATTCTTCATATTTCTTGGCTACCAAGGTGCTCACTTTTCTCTGTATTCAGTCAGCCAATGAGTTTGATTTGTTAACCTTCATGTCATGGGTCTTTTATGAAATGTGCCTACTCATTTGCGTGCTGTCGAATTCTTTTCCTACTTTGTTAAGCTCAAGGGGCATCATGTCTGTTTCACTAGTACTCTTTGAAAATATAGTGATATCGTCAGCAAAGCGAAGGTTTGACAAGAATTTGCCATAATTTCGAATGCCCTTGTCATCCCAGTCGAACTTCTTCATGTACAGCAATGCGTCACTAAATCAGTTTGGCGAGGAAGCGCGCTTATCGAACCCCTTCTGGGTCGACGCAGAAACTGTATGTTTGTGCTGCAGTTATGATAGCAGCCGAATATGGTTTTATATAGAACGGACCTACATTCTGGTGTACAAGTGTTGATAAAATTGCAATAGTTTCGACGCTGTTGAACGTTTTTAATGTCGATTAACGTTAGGAAAGAGGTACGTTGTGGTAACAAAAAAGCCCATGACTCTGGACGCGGTTTGGATACCTTCAATGTGGCAGAATCTTTGTCGAAATTCCGCTCTACCCAAATACTTTGTCCAAGACTTCATAGAAAACCGCTTTTATACAGTGCTTACAAAAGACATTCAGTGACCAAATCACAAGGTAGTTACAAAGAGCCGTTCAGTCGCCGCTCTTGGGTAAGATGCCAATGCGCGAGTGTTAGGCGTGTTTTGATAAAATCCAGTTTCAATTTCTTTCCCTTTTCGAGCAAACATTTAATATTGATGGGTGTGGTGTCTGAAATGCTCGTTCAAAACTCTGAAAAAACTCTGGAGAAGATGAATGGCCAAAAGAGAGGATAGGGTCTAAGTTGGATGTGCTACAAAACTATCGCGACCGGCATTTCGTAACAGAATTCTCCCTCCACGAATGGGAAAAGTCGCATCATATAGTTGCCTTACGTCAGTACTCTCACTTTTCGTTTCTTGTAGGCTGATCACATGGAATTTAATGCGACCAGCGATCTCAAGAAGAAGGTAAAGGTCCGCGTCTGAAGAGATTGTTCTGGTGTTATAGGTGGAGTGCAAAAAGCGGTTTTTAGTGCAGTCCCAGTGAAGTCTTGTATAACACGAGATTTGAACACCTGTCAACGATATCATAGGCTGGAGGGTCCAATGTGTACTGAGGCCTGGTTGAGGCGTTTGTTGTTTTCGTTGGAGTCTCAAGGCATTACAGCTTAAACTTTCTCACATTGACACCATAGGTGACCGCTAACCCATGTTGGTCAATGGGACATCTTCCTTTTTGTGATTAGTTTGCTGCTGCTGTTAGTCCTAATACTGACTTACTCCTACTTGGGCTTCCTAGTGATAACGTTAAAATCTCTGGCAACTGAGGAGACCTTCGCTGGGGATAAGCTTCCCGTTGTATATCGAGTTTTGGTGAAGCCATAAACCATTGAGATGGAGTGGGAGTGGTTTTGTTTTAATTCACATTTTAAGCGTCTGAATAAACCAAGATATTTGAAGGAGTGGTTGTGGGGGATATTGGACCGAAGTTCGGCATCAACGCTCTTGACAACGGTTTCCTCAAATTCGATCACTATCGTATACCACGCAAAAATATGTTGATGAAACATGCTAAAGTTAGTTCTAAGCAGATGTTTATAAACTCCTAGGTTGATTCCATTAGTTAATCCAGTTGTTTAGGTTGCAGCTGATGGAACCTATACGAAACCCAAACACTCAAAGCTGGGTTATTCTACGATGGTCTATGTGAGAACGGAGATGGTCATGCATCAGGCGCTCTACCTATCTTACAGTATGATTATTGCCATACGATATTCAGCTATTCGACGACAGGGAGAGATCGTTCCGGGGTAAACATCGCGCTTTTCTTTCAAAAGGACAACAAAAACAAAGCGTTCGGCAGAAATGCGTAAAAAATATCTGCTAAAAATGGAGTGTAGACATATACCATGAAAAGAAAGAATCTATGTGTATGTGTATGAATGGGGTATAAAGTATAAAGAAATGATGTAGAAGCGACATTAATGAAGAGGACAATACTTCAACGGCTTTACCATTCTCTCTAACGTTATTTTCGCATCAAGAATCACTTTATGAAAGAATCGTCTAGATTGGAGGATGAAACTGTGAAACAAGGAAAAGTCATCAATATTACATCTTTTACTTTAGAAAATGTAGTTTCTGCGTTTTTATATTCTCTCCAAAGCAACGATTATTTAAAAGTCTTAGTTGATGAGAATATGCAACAAACATTTTGGTTTAGTGTAGGTGAAGTACGAATTCTGGATTATCAAACTCAGCAATATCGTTTGTTTCCGCATTTGGCGCGTACCATAGCGTTTCATTATACCGGACAGGAGATACGTGCACTTTTCCAGGAAATGCAGCAAGAAATCCGGAACGACCACGTAAGTTAAAAGTCCTTCGCTTCATAATTCGTTTGAGAAATTTTTTCTTTCATTTTCAGCCATTGGGGCCAATTCTGTGTGAAAAAATTTTAAACAGTAGTGCGGATATTCCCTTTTAACCGATTTATGTTGGAGATTCTGGAAACGAATAAAAGAGAATTTGCAATAACCAGGTTACTCTATAGTTTCGGCTTTGTCTAATTTTTCAAGATAAGCTTCAAGATGGTAAAGGATAAGAAATAAAGCTTTCGGCATTGATCAATCCCTGAAGGATACGCTATTCATTGGCCTTCATTAAGCATCGGTAGATGTAACTGAATGCATACCTAGTCTGTTCAGTAACTTGCGGTGGCCTAGTGAAGCACAGGTCAGTGCTGCTCTCTTCGCAGAAAAGTCTCTGGCACCAGTTCTCCGACTCCGCAGTGATGACAGACTTGACGAGGCCAGAGTGAGGCTAACGATCATCTGTTTATTGCTGGCCACCTCTAACCACTACACTCTACGTTTCTAGATAACATAATGTTTGTTGAACACTTATAAAGAATTCACAGTTCGCTGGTCACTTAGTAGTTATAAGAAGACCATCGCCGCTTCTTTTTCTGTACAAAAGACCTTTAAGAGACTTTTCCGTTGCTTGGGTACCCGTTCTCTTTGCAGGTGTATAATAAAGTCATATGTGCAGCATGAGCCGTCTATAGGGTGCTCGCCAACTCTTAGGAGATGAGGCGATATATATCCTAGTTCTCTAGCAGTGCTGGAAGAACTTCTACTAACTTGGTCGATGCTGGTATGGTTCTAGTGAAACGTTATTGCTTGATATAGATAGTCTGGTTCGCAAGAGATTTCTACAGGATCTCTATTAATCAAGAGGAAAATCCTTCCGTCACCCTATCTCGCGAGACCTTACTATAGTTTCCTTAATTGCACTGAATAGAACAGAAAGCGCGATATTATACTGATGAAAGTCTCAGCCACATTTCTTTACCTTTTCTCTTTTGTGCTACTTGCAAAACCCCTCCTTGTCGGTATCGGTGAATATCCACTAGTATTTCCTTTCTGCAAATTGGGCTAATGACCATCGGCTCGATATGTATCGCAAAAATGTTGCGAACGTTTTCTCTTTCGAACCATCTGTTCTTGCATAACAGATGTTTAGATTTTGTTTTTATCTTGAAAAGCGCTTGTCCCGCAACATGAAAATCTACCAGCAGCACGTCAGATACAGTCAGTTCTTTGTATAACCAGCTGTTTGTTATCTTCCTTTTGCGCGGTGTCCGAATTTCTTTAGCACTTCGTGTTTGAAGTGCATGTTCACTCGAAAAAGTCAGCTGTTTGATCCGATGCGAAAACATGGCATGACACCGTTCTCAAGTGAGCTCCATCTTCCCTTGACAAGGACATGATTAATATCTGTATGATAAGCAGCACTATGTATTCTCAGTTTTTCTGTAATAGACATTCTTTCTGAACATAAAATTTTTGAGGACAAACGAATCGAAGAGAGAAGATAGCTAATTTTACATAATACCTTTCATCACAAAGAAGGAATGGTGCGATGCAGCACTATGCGAGGATGATAAGACGGTTCTTCAAGACGAAGACGACTCCAGCAACATAAAGCGATGCATTTTTTCACTTAAGATTCTGCAAGTAATTGTTATTTCGTTCCTAGAACACTACCATAGTGTGTTGAATATAATGTGCTGCACGGAGAAAAACATGAAGGTCATGCTGAGAAGAGGTTGGTCTAATGTTCTACACTCGAAAGCAGTTTCCATGTTATGCCATGGGCCTGTTACCGCCTGTTACTAGCTTTTCTTGTCTTCTACCACGTCTTGTAATTGGCGATTTGTCTGATCAAGTGTGATTTTCTCTGGAGTTCTGGACTGCCGTGCTATTATGTACCCTGTTTTCCCCCGGATACAACAACCTTCAGTTCTGGATCAGATAGAGCCTTCTCTCATGCAAATAAACTTTTTCTAGAATTTATCAATTCCTTCGTAGTAAAATTCCGTACTTTATATGACCAGTACTGAAGCAGTCTAAGCAGCTATGTTTCGTACAATGTTTCCACCTAGTTCTCATCTGCTTAGCTGGTTTTACAGCATATTTGCGTTCCCTTATGGCTTCCATACCCTGCGCACAATGCTGGCACTTTTGAAAAGTCGATTACCGCGGTTCTTGCGCTTTTAGATTAGTGAGCTGTGGGCGGAAAAGCTCTGTTGCCCTCATACAATGACTATTACAGTCAACAAGCCCTTTTGTTTAGAGGTGTATATGCTTTGGACAACTGGAACAGAGAAGATGCTTCGGTTTCCACGCTGTCAAACGCTTCTTATAGCTAATACAAGTTAAAACACGAAATCGATGAGATTTCTTGCACAGCTCTATGACTCGAAATCCGCTCCATATGCTCATGTGCTCCGCACTGACAAATCCCTCGCGAAATCCCACTAGTTCCATATTCTTTCAAGTTCTTCGAGTGCTCGTCAGAATAATCTTCATAGATGAAGTTGTAGGTTGGACACGAATCTATACCAAAGTGCAAAATTTGACAATGTGTGATGTTTTTTATGCGAAATGTATTAATTTAAAAATTTAAAAGAAGTTTAACACATTCTCAGTTGCATCTAATGTTTGATACCTACCACATTACGGTTCATGGTCGGTATCCTTAAATAACCAGACTTCCTTCGCCGGTTAGTTTTGGGCAGAATCCCCGAAATAGGCATAACCACATAAATGATGCACAGCTTGAAGAGCGCAACTAACACCCGAAATAGGAATCATTGCTGTGCAACGGCAACGTTACTGTTTAAAAAAATGATATATGAAGTCAGCGATATGCATATGTGCACACAATCAGGCGACCAGCGGACTTAGCAAGTCAATCTCATCTAATTTGTTTTACAATAATAACTAGTCTATTGCTTGTGTTTACTTTTCCTCTCAAGATCAAGTCGGACGAGGAGAATTAGGGAATTGGGAATTAGGTGGGAATTGGTTTATGACGTGGAACCTAAATAATACCCTGATATCCCCTTATACCTTTGATGTTTTTAACTTGAATTCGATTAACTTAGACCGGTCTAATCGCCGATCTACATGCGTTGTCGTCCGGTCTGAAGGCAGTAGTTACCTTCCAATCTAGTCAAGGGATCGAACAAGCTCGCATGAGTTGTGGTGGTCATGGGTATTCTGATGCAAGTTATTTGCCGACCATATTCAGTGAGTGTTTTGGAAGAGTATAACTTGCCTATCTTTCTTCTTGATTCATTTTGTGTTTCAGGCTGCGCAGTTGGAGCATGCACGTATGAAGGTGAAAACATGGTAATGTTATTACAGTTATCAAGGTGAGTTGCTGTTAAATACGCAGAAAAAATCACATCTTTTAACAAGTTTTTTTTAAGATACTTGATGAAAGCTGCTCAATATGCCCGTAATGGGAAACCTTTAGGCCCGCTTGTTCGATACCTGCTGCATCCCGGTAACAAACACTCCAAATTGAAGATCCCCAATGATGGTAAAATCGAACTTCGAACATCTTATACTTTTGAACTTCAGCACCAATTTTTGTGAAATACACAACTGACAACTGAGTTTGCCATATTTACATTCAATGTTGTAAAATAAGGAGGCACAATACAGACAACACAGAATCCTTTAGACTATGCCAATTACTTGTTGGACTACGAGCACATTTGTCGGCAACTGGTTTTCAAGGCCTATGGCCGTCTGAATGAGTTGCGTGCTGGTGGCCTGTCTTCTGAAGAAGCGTGGAACATGAACGCCGTTGAAATGTGTCGAGTATGCAATTTCTTTCCGACATTTTTTTTTTGGATAAAATAACTTTCTGCGATCTCGTGAGATGGAAGCGAGCAGTAATAATTGCTTTCCCTTTGCTATCTTTTATCTACCACGGATCTCCCTCATATGAGGGATCTCGAGCCAGTTAGTCGCGAAACTACGTCGCCCGTCTCCAGGTGACCGATAAGAGGTTAGTTGCGAACCAAAACCGATCTTTCCTTTTCTGAGACGCGGGTGGATCCAGAGGATGGACTCCCTCTTTCTGCTGCACCGATTTGCCACATACTTTCTGTATGTACTAGGCGTATTCATGCATGCGGTGTGGGTGCGTACTCGCTTATACGCATTGTATTCTACGGCCAATTCGTCAATTTGGCCAAAAGCCTGCAATCAAGTGAGAGGGAAGTATATGGGGGGTAGTTAGGAGTCGCCTCCAACAAATAAGCTCCATGTCCACTCTAGGAGAGCCTGGCAAGCTACCCGTGAGTATGCCCAGCACCCACGTTCAGAGCCCAGCAGGCTATACGTGGATATCAAAAATGATAAACACAAAAAAAAACGGACCTCATTCCGCTGACCCCGAAAGAGCCCCGAGTTTCGCAGCGTTGGGTAGGACGAGTACGGAGAGGCTGCTAAAATCTCAGGGCCAATGGAAGTTGCCTGGATTTCGAAGAACTATGGTGACGATCTGTACCTACAATGCACGTACACTTGCATCCGAGTCCTCGATAGAAGACTTGCTCATGCAAGCCAGAAGGATAAGGTACGACGTCATCGGCCTGGCCGAGACGAGAAGACGCCGGCCTTTCAACGCCGTCTGTGACACCGAAGAGGAACAGTTCCTCGGAACATGCGACAGTAGAGGAATCGGCGGTGTCGACCTTCTCGCCAACACGAGTTTGTCCATGAATATCGATTCATTCGAACACCTTACTACAGAAATCGAACGTTTACGATTGAAGAGATGCGAATCACTAGCGGCTTTGACAATCTTCGTCATTTATGCGCCGACATCAAACTATGATGAAAAAGAAGCCGAAGAGTTCTATATGGACTTGGAGAAGTTCTACAGAGAAGACCATACATTCTTCATGGTTATCATTGGAGATTTCAAAGCCGAGATTGGACGAAGGAGAACGTCTGAAGAACGTCACGTTGGGACCCATGGATTGGATTGAAACGAACGGGGTGAACGGATGTCTGAGTTTATCATGGCATCCAAGACAATCCATGGTAACTCGCAATTCTAGAAGCCCCACCCTCAGCGCTGGACATGGGAGTCTCCCATTGGAGAGTACCATAACGAAATAGACCACATCATAATAAATAGAAGGTTTTGCCTAACTGATGTCGCTGTTGTCCCAAAATTGTACACGGGATCAGACCATCGTCTCCTTCGTGAAAGATCCTATTTCTCGCGGAAAGGAGAAAAAGCGCTAAATTCCAAAACTGAAGTCGCAGAACCACCGTAAACAGGGATTTATTTAATTCATTAGTTGATTGTTGGGAAGATGCCGTTGTCGACAACATCGACGAAGAATACGATCGGCTTATTCAACTTCCTCACGTTAGCGCTATGAAAGCCGTGAGTTCGTAAGTCAACAAGAGACGTCTGTCTCCAGAAACACTCGAGCTGATACGCCAGCGTGGAATCACACGAGCTGCAGGCAACGACGAACTAACGTCCGAACAAGCAAAACATTGTAGACAGACGATAAAAGAAGATCTTAGTGAGAGAGGAGCAGCAGTTATGTTTGAAGGTTCAGAATCTGGGAGAAGTATTCGCAAAGTCCACCGAAGCATCGCAAACTACAAAATCAAAACGATTGCACTCCGATACCCAAACGGAATAGTTGCACCGTCCACAAAGGCAATGGAAAAAATCATCCGCGAATACTACTCAGATCTCTTCAATAGCCACGTCTTCCTACCTACGTACAAAATAAAGGAGGATGGATATCTCGTACCACCGGCTCTCTCTTCTGAAATCCGACATGCCATTTCGTCGGTAAAAATATCGAAGAGCACCAGGTCCGAACAGGATAAAATCCAGACACCTGAAGAACCTTCCGCCAGTCCTCGTAAACACACTGGCTCGGCTCTTCACATGTTACCTGTCTGAAGGCAAGCTCTCTACTTAATGAAAGACAATCAAGACCGCACTATTGTTCAGGAAGTATGACATACACGATATCGACAACTATCGCCCAATCTGCTTGCTGTCTCTCGTCTACAAACTTTTCACTCGAGTCATCCTAAACAGGATTCACAGAACACTAGAGGAAGGACAGTCATGTGAGCAAACAGGGTTTTGAAGAGAATTTAGTACGATGGACCACATCCACACGATAACAAGACTTATTGAAATATCGCGAGAGTACAAAAGACCGCTCTGTCTCACTTTCATCGATTTACAGAAGGCCTTTGATTCAATTGAGTTAGAAGCAGTCATGGAAGCCCTTGATACTCAAGCAGGCCCTATTCAGTACATAGAGATTCTTTATGAGCTGTACAAAAATTTCACAACCAAAGTATTACCATTCTACAACGATATTAACATGCACGTCAAAAGAGGGGTTAGTGAAGGCGATACCATCCCACAAAAATTATTTAGCGGCACCCCCGAAAACGTCATGCGAACATTGGAATAGGATAATATGGGAGTGAAAATCGACGGTCGGTAGTTACACAGTCTTCGCTTTGTTGATCATATCGCTTTTATAACACCACATATTAGCCAAGCGGAGCGAATGTTTGCCGACTTTAATAAAGCTTGTGGAAAGTTTGATGCTCGACTAAATCTCATAAGAGAAAGATGTTCATGAGGAACGGATTGGTTTCGTATGCTCCATTCAGGCTCAACGAAGCGAATATCTCCAAATGCTCCACTTACGTCTATCTGGTTCGGGGAATCAACATGTTGAACGACTTAGCTTTAGAGTTGAGCAAAAGGGAACGAGTGGATTGGGGAGCCTTTAACAGCATAGAGGTTATAGTGAAAAGAATAATGAACACCCGAGTTAGTACCCACCTTTTCGACTCAGCGGTAGTTCCTGCCTTAAAGTATGCGTCAGAAACCTAGTTGCAGCGCAAGCAGGATTAAAAATCACTCAGCGTTATCGAACGCGCTGTCGAAGGAACGATGCTAGCAGTATTCCGTGTCACGCAAATAAGGAAAAGGATCAGAAGTTCCGAACTGCCTCAACGATCAAAAATCAAAGGTGCCGTTCTATACGCCAAACAGTCGAAGATAGGGTGTGCCCGACATATATGCGTATTAATGACAACCAATGGACAGGAGCCGTTATTGACTGGATTCCTCGAAATGTCAAACGTACTGCAAGAAGATCACCGGCCCGATAGTCAGGGTTATTCACGAAAAGCCTAGAAGAACGATATGATCCTCAACGAGACCCTGGAGTGACTAGAACCTACTGGGCTGCTCTTGCATCCAACAGGGAGAAACGGAAGATTTACTGGCGCGCGCTCGAGTCGCTGGACGATCAACGGGTCTACAGGTGACAGCTGACAGTTGGAGAGACCAGTGAGTTCCTCTGTACACAAGAAAACTGACACCAAGGCTTGAAACTAAATGTAATGGAACCGTTAGGCTGAAAAAGGCATGAAGTGTCAATGACACCTGCTAGAAGGTAATCATCAAGTAGATTTAATGTGGACTGAAATCAAGGGTTAGATGGCATCCCACACATTGTCCTAATAAGTAGAAAAGTTTGCAAGTGAGTATAAAGTGATGAAAATAAGATGAAAATGAGAAAATGAGAAATGCTGAGTTAAGAGCTGGAAAAACAGACGAATTTCTGTAGTAAGAAATAGCTAGGTTTCGATAAAAGATATTTATTTTGTTTGCTGCCTTTTATTTTTCACGGCAGGATACTAAGTGATATGCAACCGTAATAATGCTGAGATATTTGCAGAACTCTGGACTGCAGGAGTCTGCTGTGGGGAACGAACGCGCTATTACCCTTTCCGAGATCTAACTCGTTCACCACTACACCATATGGGTCCTTCGATTTGCCTGTCTATCAGCTAGTTTTCTATCGATAAGTGCCGTCAGCAATCACCTGTCAAGGGGATTGATCTGGTGAACCAAAATCGGCATCGAACTCAGTTCGGAAAATTTTCAACTGCAGCCTCAGCTTAAATGGGTAATAGCGCGTTCGCTCCTCACCACATACACCTGCGGTCTGGAGTTTTGCAATTATCACAGCATCATTATGGTTGTATATCACATAGTACGCTGCTGTAAAAAATGTAGCAAAAAGGTAGCATAAAAATAAAAAGTTGACGTTGTGGTTTCAACTCTAGCCTCGGCTTAACTGGGTTAAATGCCGATTTGAGCTTTCCAGATCAATCCTGTTAACAGGTGATTGCTGATAGCATTGTTCGATAAAAAACTATCTAAGAGACAGGCCAAACGAAGAACCCGCATGGTGTGATAGTGACAGCATTAGCACTCGGAAAGGGCTGTAACGCGTTCGCTCCCTATACCAGACACCTGGGATGCATAGTTTTGCGAAAAAGTAGACAGTTAGTAGACAAACTTAATTAAGTTCCTACGAAGATAAAACTTTTCAACGTTTTCGTAATTTTCGATTCTCTTATCACGGTTCTCTTAAAATCTCCCATTTCTACTCAGGCTTCTCGTGCGCATGCTCGAATGTTCATAGCCACTGCGTTTTTCAATCGAATTCACAGAGTAGAAGACGCCAGCATTCGTGAAGTCTTAGAGGATTTGCTGCTCCTCCATCTTAATTATGAACTTGTTGATCAAGCTCATTACTTAGTTCAGGTGTGACTTAATTTCATTTAGATCCATGATCTTCCGTTTATTTTCTATAAAGCCCTTGATTTTTTGGAGAAATTTCGGCAATAACATTTACCTCGTTTACAGGACGGATACCTTTCTAGCATTCAGCTATCATATATGAAGGAAGAATTATACCGATTACTCTTGAAAATTCGACCAAATGTGGTCTCGATCGTGGATTCGTTTGACGTCCCTGACAGGGAGCTCCAATCAGTAAGTTTGTCGCCATCTTTACAAAACATTACGGTCAGAAGGCGTACAAAAATAGCCTGCAGTTATTTAAAAGAAGATTGTCTCATTTCTTTAGAAGTCCTTACAACGAACAACAAAAGGTGTGCCAAAATAATCCGTTGGATGTCAAAACATTAAAATGCTCATCAGTTTGGAAATTGTAATGAGCTACGTTCACAAAAACTGTGAGTAGTACGCGTAATCTCCTTCGTGGTTTCACTTCCGCTTCCAGCTAAGGAAACCTTGGTAGAACAGCCAAACTAGTGCAGCTGGATCTTTTACAGTGATGGCCCGTGCCCGTGCTGCTGTTCTTCAGCGTCTGCACACTTCGTCTGCCAAATTCCTTGTATTCATTGAATTTTTTACATACACGTTCGTTATGATGCCGTTAATTACACTGTGCCTCACGTTATTTCTACTCGTTACTATTTTCGAACAGCGTCCCTGCCTCAAAAAGATCATGATGTGGGAACAAAATTAAGATTTCATAAGAATTTTCCATTAAATCGTTTGTTTCACCTCACGGACTCGTTTATCCTGATGTTTTTGCAATAATTTAGTGAGATATTGTTGTCTTATTCAATACATTTTCCTACGGAGACACTGCAGTTAATAAGAAGGAAGCCGAAGCCTCAGCAGCATGTCCTTATGTAGAGTTTGTCCGTTATTTGTGGAAACAGCTTTGGCAGGATGACACCCGGCCCCATCAACTGCTCTTTTCCTGCTAGCAAAGGTTATACTTTCTAAATTTGGCAACGCTTATTCAATGGTTGTCACTTTCCCATTACATGTGTTGCTCTTAGTTGACTAATACCTATGAATAGCCTACTAAGCTTTCGCTTCGCAGTTACATATTAACATGAGTTCGTCGTTTTCTTTTATAATCCAATGCCGAGGGTAATAGAAAGTCGATCCTGGGTATTATTAACATGAGTAACTTTTTCGCCCTTCTCACAAGTGAACGTGGTTTCTTTTTCGGAGGCAACTCCTATCCATCTCTTTTCCACTTTTCATGCACTTTATTATAGTCTCTTGACAGAATTTACTTGTAGGAAGCAAACTACATATATGCGAAAACATCCACTTACGCGTGCATATGCATTTCTGCACAATAATGGAAAATATCTTAAATTGTCACATCAGAAACGGAAGTTCATACTCTGGTTAAATCTAGGTCTCGTAGAAGCCCAAGCGCGCCATGGTTCGCGTCCAATCCCCTATCCGTCGCCTGAGAACAGGCCACCTATCCTGGTAATCAACCGGCCTGGGATTCCTAGGGTACTGCTTCAGACAAATTTCAAAACTATTAGGTAGATATATGACAAATACTACGAAAAATCTGCAGCATGCTGACACAAACGCATCAATGGTTGTTTTCCGTCGATGTTTTGTCGATAACTGAAACATTTAAACGTTGAAAACTAAACAACGACGGAATTATAGAAGTAAGTTTTCACTGTCGCTGTATGTTTATTTACACTAAAATCCCTCTTGATTTTGGACTCGTTTAAACTTTTCAAAAATGAGAGGAAGTAGTTCAAATTTTTGAAAAATTTAAGAGCAGTTTTAGTAATTATTAATTTGGTAAAAGTTGTGTTTTACTGGACCAAATCCGGCTTATCGCTTCTATAGCAGTCCCTTTTACCGTCTATAGGAGCCTTGGAAAAAGAGAACCGAAAACGGAACTATTTGTGGATTCCAGAATTTCATTGTGAAATAGAAATAAAAAAACGTTTTTTGTTGGCAATGATCTTTAGATTCTGATGGTTTTATTTCACTTATAGAGTTCAATATGAGCTGGGATATGTTTATTAAAAATAGAAATGCTTGATTGTCGTGTTTGCATTGAAATCGATGAGCCTACACCGTGAAATGTTGAAGGCACTTGTGTTGCCTACAACATAAGCAGTGGTTTGAAGATCAGTAGAAATTTTGGCGTTGCAAATACTTCCTCGTCAGTTATTTCGAAGACGAATAGCATAGGTTTAGATTCTTCTTCAATCGTGTTACTGTTAGAAGAATTTCATGCGTTCTTTCAAATGCAAATGACAAAGCGATATAGATCTATCAGTGGAAATGTTGCTGTTTCAAGTACTCACTTATTTCGAAAGAGATAAAGAATATTTCTCTGAAAAGCATTCATTTCACATTTTTCAGGTGCTAGGACGTCGTGACGGGCATGTGTACGAAAATCTTTACAAGTATGCACGAGACAGCGCGCTTAATAAACACGACGTACGTTGGTGCTACGTTGTTCTATATTTTCCTTCCACACTGAAGAAATAACGCTAGCAAACAATAGATTGCTCTGCACTGTCGTATAGACTTGATCTGCTTTAATCTCCATTGTTCATTAAAGAAACTGGTAGATTTTACACTTGGTGTTGATTGTTGGCGATCTAACTGTTTAATTTTAGGTGTTCCCAACATTTGAAAAGTACTTAAAACCAATGATGAAGCGCTATGAGAGTAAAATATGAAGGATACGAATCTCTTACGAATATTTCTTGTTGACAGTATCTATTGTGCTTCACTATATCTGCGATTATTTCTTGTTGAACTATTTGCTGTTTTTCACTGACAAGCTCAATCATTCAGACTATCCTATTTTCTCGTTGTTCTTCGAAACGAAAAGTTTTCTAGGATTGCTATCTCATATGCGTTTTTCTGTTCATTGTAAACTGCTGACCAGTTAAGTACATGTGTTGAAGTGCCAGCATGAAGGTAATAAATAAAACTCAGCATGCAACTACTTGATCTTTTTTTTCTCATTGATATTACACTTTTTTGGTTAATTATGAGCCATTCTCAATCGTGATTTCTCAGCGATTATGTTAAGTTTTTTTCAGTTATATAGTGAACTATCAGCCGTCTAATTCTGTGACCACGTTGCCCCGTTCTAATTTTCTCATTGAGGTTCTCGAATGTGGTTGTAACTAATTACGACAGGATAGTATCGCCTCGTCGAACTTCCCTTTTTTATATTAGTGTTAAAGTCGTTATACGACGGCGATTTTCAAGTGGCGAAGTTGTTAAAGAATTCGCGAAGGTTCTCTATACAGTGAGGAGGGTCTCCCTAGCTGTCCGGAACTTCCTTGACTGCTTCTATTTCAAACGAGTCAAAAGTCTTTTTCAAGTCAGTGGAAGTGAGACAGAGCCGTACATTGTGCTCTCGCGATACTTCCTTTATTATATGGATGTTGTTATCCTTATTGAATCCTCTAAATAGCAGTTACCTTCACGGTCGCCCTCCATCCGATGCTTTGTCAGCCCTGTTGAGGACCACCCCATGGAAGCACACTTTGTCATTGTATAGGTCTCCTTTCTTGGGCAACGGAGAATGTCGCTGGTCTTCCACTGGTAAGTAACCTAACGTTCTGACATTCCAAATTTTGTGGCACATTTTGCCCCGAAAAGAACTGTATAGTTGAAAAACTATCCGTTATGTCGGCTTTACGGTCGTTTTCTTCTCAGTTTTGGAGTCGTTGATAGCCCATTTCTCAATTCAGATACACAGTGCTTTCGGGCTGTCGTGAAAACAGTCTCGCTAAGTCGTATATAAAGCTGAGATATTTGCAAAACTCCGGATCGCAGGTGTATGCGGTGGGGAACGAACGCCCGCTATTGACCTTTCCGGGCACTAGTTATAATGTGGCAAAAAGATCGATAGAAATAGCTGAGAGACGTGCGAAACAAAGGACCCGCATGGTGTGGTGGTGAACGCGTTACTCCCCGGAGAGGATAATAGCGCGTTCGTTCCCCACCATAGACACCTGCGGTCCAGAGTTTTGCAAATATCTCAGCAACGTTGTGGTTGTATTTCGCTTAGTAACCTGCCATGAAAATTATAGAAGGCAGAAAACAAAAACGTTAAACACTAGTTATAATCACAATCTTAACCTTTTTATTTACTGCCTATTCTTTTTAACGGCAGGGTATTTGCGAAATATAGCCTCAGCCTAACTGGGTTCAATCCCGATTTGAGCTACCGAAATCAATCTCGTTGACGGGTAATTGCTGATGGCAAAAGATCGATAGAACTAGCTGAGAGACAGGCGAAACGAAGGACCCGGATGGTGTGGTGGTGAAGTGCGCTGCTCCCCGGAAAGGACAATAACGCGTTCGTTCGCCACCGCAGACACCTGCGGTCCGGAGTTTTGCAAATATCTCAGCATTATAGTCTCACTAAGATTCACCCAAAACTTTTTTAAGGACTCCTTAACTGCCATTCCTTTGTTCTGAATGGCTAAGGCTGTATGTTATAAAGACGATGTTATCAAAAATCGATGTGTTGTAGCGAGACATTCTGGTAACATTTATCTTTTCGTGGTTATCAACATCTCGGCTTGTTGATAAGTGATGCACAATTCGGTTGTTAAAGAGAAGAAAAAGCTCAAATTTGCACTAGCTATCAACAAGGCTACCAATAATCATCTTTTATTAGAACGCAATATTTCCTATAGTAACTTCGTTCTATATGCCTTCTGGTAGTGATTCATGCTGGTCCAGATGTGACCCCCAAAACATTTGCCATAGCGACAGTATTAGCAATAACAGTAATACACTGTAAGCAGCTCCTTTTCATAGTTGTTTATTCCTTTAGGTACACAAACTCTGCCATAGCCACAGTAGTCTAAACATAAAGTTTAGCCGTGTCTACGACGTGTGCCTATCATTCGACTCGGATTTGCTCGAGAACTTTTCTCTTCTAGATTGATGCATACGCGATTTCGTTCATGTGGCTATGTTTATATGTTGTTCGCGGAATGTTAACCTAGTTGTTAAATGACCTTGAGCGAGATTTGTGAGTTATTAGGTAGTCTTCAGCTTCGTTGACTATATCTTCTGCCTTAGGTAAATATGTGTTCATGTCGCCTTTTTGCTTCATCGCCTTAGGATTTAATTTAATGAAAAAAGATAGGCAGCGAATAAAAGTTAAACATTATGAAGCGTCGCGTTGTCTCCTCATGTGAGTGGCATCTGAAGCCGAGCGCGTCCGCCTGCTCATTTTGAGAGGCTTTGGTATCGTTTTAATCCTTTCAATTTATTCTCTAACATGTCTTTTTGAGCTGGCGGCAGTTATTTTCGCTCATCTGTCATCAGCTCTTGTTATTGTATCACTGGCTTATCTGTGTTTTACTATTTGTGTGCATTCTCCTGGATTTCGAAGATATGATAGGTTTCGAATATCTAAGCTGTGTATTTCAGCTGCACATTGTGAGTGTTGGTTAAATTTCTAAGACATTGCTTACGTGCTCTCTAGCTGGTGCGCAGATTTCTTGATGTGGTCAAGGTATCAGCCTATGTTTCTGCTACATAACAGAATGCCAGGAGGACTGTTGAATCGAAAAGGTGGGCGCGAAGTTTTAGGTACGCTACTTGGTCGGTGCCTTCTTTAAGTGGTGCGGCCCATGCTACTTGCGTCACTAGCTGAATTGAGAGACAATCGGAAATTTTTTTCAATGTACCTCATAGAATTGAAAGGGACAGATAGCATAACTCTCATCGGTCCTTAAGCGTCGTAGGATCACCGTGCTCATGTTGACGTGTTGTTTCATCAATCGAGACAAATGAAAGCTTATTAACGCATATGTGGCTCTACTGAAGGCGATACTTGGTTTTCACAAGAAGCGGCGATATTATTGAATGCTGGGACTATCATGTTTGAAATATTTAGTTTACCGGCAGATGTTTAGCATATAGGATGCGACTACTATAAAACTTACAGTACATTTTTTCCATTAGCTCCAATTTCTATAAAACCACAAACGACGTAGTGTAAATAAGAGCAGAAGGGATATGTAGTTTTTATTTCTCTATTCTTACACGGCCAAAAATAACACAATGTGCTGTTTCCAGCAGTTTTTCCACTTGATTTTTCCATTTCCTCCGATCCACCATCCATGAATGTCTTCAGGCTTGCGGATGGATTCGGTCGCTGCTTGCGAACTTGTGGGCTTACTTATGAATGTCCTTGAATGTTCTTCGAGTCGATTTTCCATTGGATCCTGAGATTGACATACTAGTATCTTTCTAGGTTTTGCGGATGGGAGGGAGCTTTACAGACAGGTCTGGCACCAATTTTCGACCTCTAATATGGGGAAGACTTAGTTGGCCAAGAGGTGTATTGAGCCAGGGTTTTGAGCGTATTGCACCACTATCATTATGCTACAGTGGCCGACTGGTGGTAATGAGTTACAGTCAGGAATGCACTCATAGTGCTAACTTTTTATTTGCTCTCTACTATAATTTTTCACAGCAGGTTAAAATGCGAAATGCAATCACAATGATGCTGAGATATTTGTAAAACTCCGGACCGTAAATGTCTGCGGTGGAGATCGAACAGGCTATAACCGTTTCCGGAAGTTAACGCGTTTGCCATCACCCCAGGAGGGTCCTTCGTTTCGCCTTGCTCTCACCTAATTTTCTATCCACCATTATTTCTTTCCATTCTGCCACTCTTCCTTGTACAGCCTCACTAGCGTATTACAGAAGCCACCCTTGAACCATTTGGTGATAATATTTCCATACATGATAGAGCTGAAACGACATTGATATAAAGCCTAGGTCTCGTTTTCACTAGATATCACTTGCTGCTTACCTTTCTCGATCGCGTTGTTCTTTATATGGATGCTCTTTCTCATATCACTCCATTAGCTTGTTCCTAGAGCTACTCTTTCATCGCAAAACAATCTCTTACTTATCTTATCTTGTATAATCTTATATAATCTTTTATATATCTTACTCTCATTTAGTGATTGCTGTATAGTTTCGTCGCTTATACTGCTTATGCGCTGTCATATCGTTATTATTGTATTATTATTATTGTACACAGTTTAATTAACCAAGTTTGTGTATTACGTTGTGAAGGCAACAGTCACAGGAACAGAGTGGCAAAGAGCGAGGAAATATACGTTGATTCAAGCAAAGATCTGAACAACGTAAGCACTTTATTCAATGGATCAAGCCTGTCTTTACTATTCCCACCCAGAACTCAACATCGTGGTTTCGTCTAGAAAATAGAACTCGCAGATCAATTTTAGTGCCATAAAACTACAATGTCTGTTTCTTGGCTCTTAACTACAGCCTCTCGAACGATAAAGGATAATACCTGCACATTACATTACTTTCAAATACTAGAAATTACGACATAGATCCACCGAGAGTCGAGAGAGGAAACAGCAACGACTTACCAACTAATTAATCTCTTCGGTATCTAACATTCGATTTAACTGATTATTCCACTGCTGAATTACCACAAAACAGTGAGTAGTGCATTGGTCACTATAAAATAGGTACATCGATGCCAGCTATCACTACAATGACGTTATGATTCCATTTCTTATAATTTGCGACGGTTTTCCTATAATGTGGAAAAGAACGAATATTACGCGGAGGTGCAGATAACACGTTATCATACAGAATTGAAGTGATATAAAGTAGCACTTCTGAATTAATGACGTGATATATTTCGTTATGA